CCGGCGGGCTTAGTTTAAAGCCCGGTGGAGCAGGTCAGCCAGTCTGGCTGAGAAGAGCCTTCTCCCTAGGGGAGAGAGGTGGAGGCCATCTCTTCCCAGCAGCTCGCTGCCTCTCTCGCCAAAGAGCGGGCTGTGGTCATGAAAGCCAAAGCCTTCCTGACGACACCAGCGCTGCAGTCTTTGGTTGACCACATAGATCCTCCTGTCCCTTCTCAGCCCATAGCCTGAGACTGGGAGGATTGACGAGAACACCACCCTCATCCCTTCACAAATGAAAAGCATCTCAGTGACAACTCCCACTACTATTTACAAACCACCTTAGGAAAATATTCCACATATTTTAACTGTCTTTATGCAATGTGATGTCTATAAACCAGTAGAAGACTACATCTTGAGACCAACATGCCCTCTGCTGAGCATCAGCAAGCACTCCACACTCTGAGAATCCACACACACTCCACAAACTAAGAGTTTTGTGGTGGCTAATGTGCTAGGACCCTTAGCCTGTGCACTGAAGTACTGAACCTACCTGAAATAACATCTTTGTTGGAAGAGAGAGCGTAACGTTCATCAAATACAAACAGCTTCCCCCTGTAGAACCCATCTGGAAATTCTTCCAAGTACTTGTGGATGCCGCCCTTTAGCTGGTAAACTGCCGTGCACATGGCCTGTTTTAAACAAATCAACAGAAATACTAAGCTAGGCCATAATAGCAGGATTGTGCCAGACAGCCTAATGCATGCAGTTCTCAGGAAGGGATGTTTTTGAATGCCCATCATGAGACCTCATGTATGTGCCACACACACAGACCACTTCCTCCCAGGTGCTGTTGCTGGCTGATACGGAGCCAAACGACTGTTGCATTTCAGTTTAATGAGCAGTGTCTGAGGTATGTCACCATCTCTCTGCACAGATGCTAGTTGGATAGAAGTCTGCCCTGTCACACAGCAAATGCTATGGGGACCTGGTCCACTCTCTGCTCATGCCATCTGTAAACCAGTGTAGTTCTACTGATGTCAGTGGAGTTCCTCCCAACACACTGCATAACTGAGAATGAATTAAGCCTGGGCTGTCCAACTTCTGAGTGGCTGGGGGCTGCATGCTGTTTGGATTGCATGCACCAGGAGCCAAGCAGACCCCCTGGCTCCCCAAAGGCTTCAACGCCCTGCCCCCAGGGATGGGGAGCCCGGAGACCTCTGCAGCAGCAAGAGTGGAGGAGAAGCAATGGCCAGGCAGCAGCCCATGAGTTGCAACTTAACCACTTGTGGGCCACAAATTGGACAGCCCTAGATTAAGCCTTAAATTTCTGGAGGATTTACCTGTGCTGTCCTCCCGTGGTAAGGCATGAGGCATTAAGGCTGGGAGGGGTTTGGAGGTAGGGATTGTCTAATGGGATGGGGGCTGGACTAGAAAACCTAGGTCTGATTCCCAGCTCTGCCTCTGATTTGATATGAAATCCCAAGCAAATCACTTACTGTGTCTTGTGCTTCATTTCCAATCTTTAAAGGGGGACTATAGCCCGTCCCTTTGAACCAGGGACAGAGACACACAGATTAGGCAGGGAACATCCAACCTCAACCCTGCCACTCCCAGAGCGCCTGCTCACCTTAGTCCGGAGGTAGGCAGAGCCCCTTTCACAGCGAATCCCTCCAGTGCAGTACATAAGTACTCGCTTGTTTTTAAACAGCTCTAGATTTTTGTCCACATAGTTGGGGAAGTAGCTGAACTTCCTGATATCAGGAGCCAGGGAACCCTGGAAGCGTCCCTGGAACAAGACATGGCCATGTGAGCCGAAGTGTGAGAAAAAGGTGAAACACAGCAGTCCGCACATTGTCAGGTATACGTGTGAATTGAAGACGAAACTAGCCCTTTGGGCCTGACTCTCTGGTTCCCTGCGGTCATGTTGGCCAGATCCTCAAAAACATTTAGGTGTCAAACTCGCATCATAATCAATAGCAGGTGCCTAAACAGCTTTAAAAATCTGGACTTAGGGTCTCCTTCACTTACCTACTCTAACCCAGCACCCCAATGGAAAGATGGTGGCCTGGTGCAAAATTCATCAGAGAGGATTCACTACCTCATTTTATACTTGCTCCTTAGCACAGATGAGGGCACTGTACTCCACCATCTCCAGGGCCAAACTTGGGTCTTCCTGGCATACATGAAATATGAATGGTTTTCTTCTACAGCTAAAGCTGTGGAGTCACCTTGTTGCTTCAGTTCTATTATACTGCTACTACTGTGGTGGGCTAGTCTGAACAGTCAGCTGAGTAGGCCCCTCTGTTGCCAGGCAAGGCCTCTTCTGTTTTTATTCTGGGGGTAATATTTTCTAATTAACTCTACTTCACAGATGCAAGGTGGAACAGCAAGCCCTGTCCCCACAGTTGTACCATGCTTCCAAGCACAAACAATGAGATGACTCTCCCCCTGCACTGATAAAGACATCACAGGAAGCCAATAAACACTTACTATTTTGCTTTCATAGAAGTTCCTACAATCCAGTAAAATGGTGTCACTTTGTGCTTGATTAGCCTGAGATAAATATTTTTCCACTTCTTTATGAAATTCCTGAGGTGACATATGGATTCCTAAAAGGGAAATGATACCTTGTGAAGAGCTGAGTGATATTTGAATGGTATAGCAAGGTAACTGATTCAGGTTGCACATTTAGATCATTCAAGCCCAGAGGTGATACACGTATATGACCAACTGCCCTAGGAAATAACTGGTATAGGATTTCAGCTGACCTCACCACAAGCACAATGGGCTGAATTTAGTTTTTAGTTAATTCCTTTGGCTTCAGCAGGTGACAAATGTGCCATGAGACAAAACAAAGCCCATCAGATAGGCAGCACTCCAAGAACAGGCTTACAGATATTGTGAGATTGATTTTCTGCTACTCTTCCCCCTTGAGCAGATGCTTACATCTTTAAAAACCAGGAACAAAACATCCCCCTTCTGATCTGGCAGACCCTTCTGTTCACTTTGGCCTGGTGAAGAGAATACCAGCCGGTTGGGAAATGTTTTGATTAAATGCTTACTGTGAGAATGTACTGCTCTCTGTGAAACTTCCATCAAAAAGAGCTTCTCAGCTTCAAGATGGGTTTTCTAGGCAGAGGTAGGCGGACAGGAAGGAGGGTCTGACCTATCCATACTTGGTGGCTAGGAAGTGAGCCTTGAACACAGGGGAACAAGATGTGAATCTCTGCTCTCATTCAAAGTATGGACTTGAATCTGAGTTCCCATCTCTGAGATAAGTGCCAGACGATTGGCTATTCTCTGAAGCAGATGCCCTCAACTTCTCTTGTGGAAGCTGTTCTACTTAGTACATGTATTTAAATAGCCAATGGCACACGAACTTGAATCCTGGGTCTCCCACATCCTTAGCAAGTGCCCTGATCTCTGAGCTAGAGAGTCAGTCACTTTGGCTGCATTATCTGCATAAAGAGGAACACTTTGAATAAGCCTCTGTTTTAAACAAAGACAGCTCACAGGTATCTCAGCCAATGTTTCCCCTACAGAACCTGAAAGATTTCAAAAACTACTCAAATTAAGTACTTTTAACAACCTGGGTCCTAGTGTCTGGTAAGTACTAAGAATAAGCTGCAAAACTCAGATTTCTTTTTGGCTGTACAGAGGAAAGAACCAGATAGTTTGCAATGTGCATGTGGACCTCTAGCACTTCACATGGGCTCCTGGCTGCAGCTGGGAAACCTTACCCAATGAAACATACTAGGGAAAAGTAATCCCCCTACTATGTAAGGTAGGAGACCAGGCAGTCAATCCTCCTCTTCCATGCTGACTGCTCCTAATGCTTTTTACTTCTCAAAACTTGCACATTTAGTCAAGCCTGTTTTACAAGTAACAGAGGTTGCACAAGGTCATATTAGGCACACCTAAAATTTGAACCCTACACTTTCTCCTCCAGCCTCTTTTAACTGGCACCAGTATTAAGGTTCACTTGCTTTTGAGAACCAGCAAGGCTGTTACCTTAAGATGCTGCTTAAATTATTATTGACTGGGATGAATGAAATGTACAGCTCCATTTCAAATTGCCAAAGCAATAAAATCCTGTGCAAATGAGATCCAAAAAGATCCCATGCAGAGAATTATTCCCACTGCTGACCTGGAGCAGTCTGGGACATTTCTAACAATGTAATTACTACTGTAGTTTTGATCTGCTTGCTAGGCAGAAGGGAGTGTCTGGGCAAGTGCTTTCATCTCATTTGCCTCGCAGTTCTGTCCTCATGCCTGCTGAAGATAAGTTTCCATAAATCTGACATACCAGTTTCTTTGTAGGAGACTTTGTTTGGATCAATGCCCATGGGTACAATCTCTTCAAACACATCTACTCGAAGGCCTGGGAAACAGTGTGCTCCTCCTGCACTGCTCTGGGACATTAAAAACAGGAACACATCACAAAAAGGTATTGGCTATCCAGTAAAAATGTGGCAGAGGAAGGCAGGATACTTAAGACTTCATGATGTTCTGAGTTTCTGCATGTAAAGACAAGTCACTTTTGAGGAATGGATGGTACAGGGGATGGGTATTAGCCACCCTTAGTAATGTGTGCAGGGTGGTTCCAATCTAGTTCCCAGTGGACAGATACCAATATCCAAATAACTCCTAAAGAGGTGGCCAGGCATTATCTGGTGTTGGCACAGGGCCTCAACACAGAGGCCGAGGGCTGAATGGGCCACAGAAAATGCACCAGCTGATCCACAGGCTAACTTGTCTCTATGGTTTCCTTAAGAAATTATCAGCTCTCCTGATCTCCTCTGAGTTTGTTTTCAACTTTTATGTTTAGAACTAAAGATTAGAGCACTGACCAGAACCACAGCTACAAGATTAAATCAGCATTAATCTTTCTTAAGAGCTTTCAGTTTAATGATTCTTGATCTATCTAATTTGCTTACTTATAGCAGACATTTCTTTACGGTAAATAAGAAAATAATAACCAAGGTGGAGGAGAAGGAACAGGAGGAAAAAGAGGAGGAGGAGGAGGAGGAGAAGGAGAAAGCAGAGGAAGTCAAGGAGGAGGAAGACGAAGACAAAGACGACAACAAAGACTATGACAACTTTGCTTCTCCTCAAAGCAACTGTTCCCTAAACCATACTGTAGGAGACAGGCTCCTTGGAATTTTTAATGTAGTAGAGAGAAGCTACCCAGAAGGAAGAATGGTGTGTGCATATATTTCTAAAAGCAAATCTTAAGGCGAACAAGTATTTCATAGAATAGAGAAGTAGGGCTGCAAAGAACTCCTCCTAAAGGTAGTCTAGTCCAACCCCTGCCTAAGGCAGGATCATACCTATCCAAACCATCCCATATAAACCATAATCTAAACTCTACATAAGACTACCGTCAACCCTGAAACAACACACAGACCTATACCTTACACTGCCACAGGTAAAGCAGAGGATTGATATCAGCAAATGTCCTGCTTCTGTGAAATGTTGTCAACATATGCTCAAGAGTTCTCAGGTAGAGGCCCACGCTACTGGCTACAAAGGAAAGCAAACCCCCCACAGTCCGTACCAATCTGACCATGGGGTAAAATTCCTTCCTGAGCCCAAATATGATGATTGGTCTGACCCCGAGTGGTGGGGCAAGGCCTTCTAGCCAGGAACTTTGGTCCCAGCGGAAGCATTGGTACATCCCAGTCAAAGTCCCCAGCCTTGGCCGTAGCCAACATCCAATGCCTCCAAGGAAGGCTTTAAACCACCCTGATACATGTAGCAAAAAGAAGATGGGGAGAAGGGTGCCTGGGGGGGGGTGTAACCAGCAAAGCCCAGAAGCATGGAAAATACCCATAGTAAAACAACCCTGACCAGTGGCTGTCCAACCTCTTCTTGAACACCTTCAGTGATGGAGTCCATAACTTCCCTAGGCAATCTACAAATAGTGTATGCAAATAACTTCTTTTACCTTGAAATCCTCTCTACACAAAATGTTTCTGAACAGAGGATGGGAAAGCACTGCTTCTATATAAAGACATGTAGCTGCTTTGCTTCCGCCAACTGTCCCATTAATTCCTTCTGAAGCAATCCGCACCTGGAAAACAAGGAAAACCAGATTTCAGATAATATTGCAAACCAGTATTACACTTTTCAGATAATAGTACAAACTAATCAACATGCAAATAAAAAACGGGGTCCCCTGACAATGCAAGAAATATTGTAGAACTATAATCAGAAAAAGGGAAAGTCAGAGGGAAGCGGTAGCTGATGTTGCAGGAGAAATGATTACAGTAAAAGAGAAACCACAAAATGAGATTAAATGTTCAGTTCTTACTTTTACTCCAAGAGATACTGAATCATAAAAACTTGTGCAAGTGGAGAAATAATTACTAGGAATGGACCAAATCCTGTAGTAACTACTCAGGAAAACTTCCAGTGACAGGTCCAATAACTACAGTAGCTAGGAGTAAGTGAAAGTGTAGGTGTTGCAATTCAATTCAACTCTGATGCATGAATTCCAGAACACTGAAGTGAAGAAAACCTGAAGTTCACAGAACTGATAGAAACAGTTGTGATTAGATCAGTAATTCTCAACCAGATTCTGCAGCACCCTGCAGTGCCTCAAGGTCCTTTCAAAGGTGCCACCAGGTGCCATACAATGTTAACTCTGGGCGCATCTACACCTGCACCCAACTGTGCAGTTGTTACTGAGCAGTCATCTTAGTACTTGTTTAACCACCGTTATTGCGCAGTCCCGGCAGTGCACGGGTCATTTTCGACCCTACTGTGCAGTAGCACGAACTGCTATACAGTAGCCTTGGCATCACGGTTCGTGCCTGCCAATGACATAGTCTCTCGTATAGGTGCACCCACTGTTATGTATTCAAATGTGATTCACAAGATAAACTGAGAGATTTCAAATAGGAATCCTCAGTATTCTGACCTGTTGTGATCTTTCTCAGCTCTATGCAACAGAAGAATTGCTCTATTATTTTTCTGTAGTCAAAAATAAGGGAAAACTAAGAGCTGGTATTTTCTAAGAGGTGTCTTGACTCTATCCAGAAGTGCCTTGAGCCTAAAAAGGCAAGGTTCTTTAGGTAGATATGATATTTTATTAGACCAACTGAGTAGTTGCAAAAAAGTTCTTTGCAAACTTTCAGGTACAATCACCCTTCTTCAGGCATAGGAAGTCTCTGCTGTTCTGAGCCTAAAAACTTTGAGAACCACTGGATTAGATCAAGGAAGTGGCAAAAAAAATACAAAGATGAAAAGGCATATGTAATACAACTTTTGGAAGAAAGAACTTGGAAACTACCAGATAACAAATGAGCAAAGAGGAATTTAGTGTGTCAGGACATATCATTGTGGTATCTAAGAGCTGCATAACAGCAGAAAAAAGAGCTGCTTTGTCTCATGTTCCTACTGGACAAAAGAGCAGAGCTTTTGATTCATTTTGTTTTAAACAACACTGGTTATGGGAACACTTGACACAAGAGCCTATTATTGAGCTTGGAATAGTGTGTGCAGAACTACAAAAAGGGCAACAACAATTTTACATGAATTGGGGAAAAGTCAGGGCTGAGATTGAAATGAAAGGACACAGACCATCAAATATAAGTATCAAGGGATGTGAACATAGTCTATGAGTTAATTTCAGTGCAGCTAGAGTATAAATAGCTAAAAAATAATATTTAGTGGTCTAAGATTGCTGTAAAGGGACAAAAGCCTGAAGACAGAGAAAGAATAGTTTTGGATAGCATTAGAAAAAAAAGGCTTTAGGACAGTGGTCAGCAACTTTTTCAGGCTGCAGGCTAAAATGATCCAGCTCAGTCACAGGTGGGTGGGTGCCAGGATTCACTGCTCCCACCATCAACACATCTTCTCACTGCAGGCACTTGGTTCTGCTACAGCACAAGGGAAGCTCCCACCACTGCTGCTTCTTCCTGTCACATCATGGGAGTACCCACCACTACTGCCACCTCTCTCCACCACAGCTTGAAAGCCACCACACTGAATGCTGCCAGAGCCCTGCTGCAAAATGCCAACAAAACCCCATGTCCACGGGTTGGATCCAATGGTTCCATGGGCCAGATCTGGCTCACAGGCTGCAGGTTGCTGACACCAGCTCTAGGTGATATGAAGAAGCAGAAGAGGCTATCGGTAGGACACCTGCACTGCAGAAGTTTGGAACATGCAAGACACCATTCACAAGTGTTGACAGAACAAAACAGAGATCAATCCTGCAAAAGGCACAAAGTCTAGGTAGAAGAATAGTGCCCTTATTTTTAGCCTAAAAGCTGAGCCGTGACAATGAGGCAAGTAATAAACCATCCTACTCCTGTATTTTCAGGTTAGCTATTCTGCTGTCTTCCTTACATGCAACAGGACAAAGCACAACCGGGCCATCTGTAAGGTACATTGTTCCTGTACTGGGTTGTTACTCCCTCGTCCAGGCCCAGGAGCCAGCCTTCCCTCTTTCCCACCTCAAACTAAATGGAATAATAAAACATCAACAGAACCCCACCCCCACTTGCCTCTCCTATCCAAGTCAAGGGCTCAGACTCTCTCAGTGGACATGTCCACACATGCAATTAATGTGACTGAATACACTCCAGCTCAATTTGAGCCAGAATAAACTAATCCTGATGTTACCATCTATCCATGCTTTTAAGTGCAATAATTTACTTTGCTGCAGGATACCACATGTATCTAACATGATTATCTACCAGTGCAGTAAATTAGTCCAATGCACCTTAATTGCTGTGCATATGCAGGCAGTGATGCTTTACTGCACAGGAAATTAGTCTACAGCGCAGTAAAGTGTCTCCTGTAGATATGCCCAGTGCTGCCTTTCTTCTCAGCTTCCTTCCCTCTCCAGCATCATCTCTCTGGGAGCTTTTAACTTCCCCCGGGGCCAACCAATCATCCCCATCAGCTGGCCCAGAGCTTTTAAGCAGGCAAGCTATTACCCTCTAACCCCTGCAACTGGGCTCCAGCCTCTGAGCCATGCACCTTGTTACAGTTCCTCACAAAGCAGAGGAAACTATCTGAAGAGACAGTAACTACTTACCTTGCCAGTGATATGCAAGTGTTGGCACAGAGCCTTCTGCCAAATACAAAGCCTCTCTGGGTCTTTCACTTCACAGTAGCAGTAATATAACAGCACCTCTCCCACGTCACTGCCAAGGGTACCATAAAGAACAAATTGGGATTGGATTTTAGACTCAATAGCAAGAAAAAAGTTGCAGTTGATACTGCTACCAGGGCCTGATACCAAATTAATTAATTTTCTCCATGGCTATTGTGCTGTGAGTCACTGGGTGCCTTTTTCATTTACTTCAAGTAGAAGTGGACATAAATCGGAATTTGTGCAGCTTATCATGTACCCCTGCATTTTATTTATCCTACCCCTGGGAATGCTGAAATGGCTTAACTAGCCCTGCATGTTATGTCCATGCCTGTGCTTTATAACTTATTCCCATTCAGGAAATACATTTCTTTAAACACATCCCACACGAACTTTTGTTTTCCAAAGATATCAGAGATCTGCTAAGGACTAATGTTATGGCAAACTTGAAGCAAACCCATTTGAACTGCCCAGATGAAAAGAGCATTAACTTTTTAGGGGCAAGAGGGGCCCAATTTCTGAGTAGCTCCACCTGAACTCTTACACACAAAGGACAGTGTCACCATGACAGGGAATGGGCCCTAAGCATATTCAGCACATCTGTTCCTACACACAGGCATCATACGTGGAAATAAGCCAGTGAAGATGATTCAGGCTTATTCTCAGCAGTCACTCTAAAGTACACTGGAGCCCAAGGGCTTGAGAGAAGTTGCAGAAGAATGCCATGAAGTGGCCTCATTAGTACATTTCTAGGTTCAGAGCACAAAAGGTGTTTGGGGCCCTCCCAGCCAGGAAACACTGCTGCTGTGGTGCAAAAATGTCCTAAGTAAGATTTTCTTACATCTCCTTATTAATGTGAAAAGTACCACTAAACTACATGCCAGAGAGCCTGCTGTCATTGTTTTCTTTGGTATGTGCCCTGTTATGAGAATGTGGGTCACACTCATGTGGACTCTCTTTGACTTGATGGGAAACATACAGATATGGGACCAGACCCCCCCTCCCCACCACTGCCTCACATCTATGCAAGCTGGACATATATGCTCACAGATCAGAATTGTAATGTTGGCCTTGTCCTTTGTACTGGGGTTAGTGGTTGCACACAGTGTACAAAGTTAAGCAGGAA